CTTTCTTCAGCGTGGACTCTGTGAATGCACACAACTGGGTTGACTGACTAGCTTGCTTACCGGATGGAGGGCTGTCACTCCAGCAGAGATGTTAGGACAGCTCTTCCAAAGGCAGTATCCTTCTTGGCCCGGAGGTCCAACCTGTAGTGTGTGATGAAGGTGGACATGGTGGACCAAGTTGCTGCCTTGCAGATCTCTGGAATGTCCACTCCACTCAGCAGTGCCGTAGACGTCACCATGGCCCTGGTGGAGTGTGCCCTAAGGCCCTCTGGTGGGTCTTTACCCTGCAGCTGGTAGGCCAAGCCGATGGTTGACACAATCCACCTAGAAATCATAGATGGAGTCGCAGCAGAACCTTTATGTGAACCATGAAAACATACAAATAGCCTGGGTGAGGTGTGAAAGTCCTTAGTTCTGGTGGTATAGAACGCCAGCGCTCTCCTAACATCCAGTGAGTGAAGCGTATGTTTCATTTCTGAGGATGGATTGGGGAAGAGCCTAGGTAATGAGATCGGTTGATTAAGGTGAAAGCTTGAGACCACTTTAGGAAGGAATGACAAGTCAGGGTAGAGGACTACCTTGTCTTTGAAAAACTGCAGGTAAAGATTGTCGTGACGCAACGCTGCCAGCTCACTAGCTCTTCTGTCCGAGGTGATGGCCACTAGGAAGAGTGTCTTAAGCGATACCAGTTTGATATCAGAAGTTGCCATAGGTTCAAATGGCGGCATTGTGAGGGCCTTAAGCACCAAACGAAGAGACCACTGTGGTAAAGGTGACCTCGTGGGTGGATGCAAATTCAGAATGCCCTTGAGAAAAGCCTTTAGAGTTGGGTGTGAAAACAGTCTAGCCGACTCTGATTCTCTAGGCTGGAAGGAGATTATTGCTGACAAATATATCTTTAAAGCTGAGAGTGCCAAGCCTTGATCGAAGAGATGATGTAGATAAAGAAGCAACATATGAAGTGATGTCAGTCGAGGTTGCAAGTTCCTTGATTCTGCAAAGCACAGGAAGTTGTTCCGCTTGTAGGAGTATAAAAGTGTTATAGAAGACTTCCTTGCTTGATTGAGGATCTCATGAATTAGAGTTGAATCCTCCAAGCAGTCAGATGTAGGGAAGGTAGGTCCAGGTGAAACACCCAGCCCGCATCCAAAGAAAGAAGATTTGGAATTGATGGTAGTCTCACAAAGTCCTTCACCATAGCTCTGAGAGTGGTGAACCACAGACACCAAGGCGCTACCAGGATAGCGTTGGCCCTGTCCTGCCTGATCTTGACAAGCGTCCTCTGCACCAGTGAAAAGGATGGGAATAGATAAAGATGATGAAGGCATCCCCCAATGATGCCTGTCCCCGTCCGGCACGGGAGCAGAACCTTTCGCATTTTGAGTTGGCTGACATGGTGAATACATCTATCATCGGAGTTCCCCTCTTCTGACAGATTCTGCAATGTGTCAAGGTGTCCAGTTCCCATTCGTGAGTCTGTTTGGATAGAGGACTCAACCAGTTTGCCAGCTCATTTTCCTGTGTTGAAATGTGTATTGCGACATGGTGTTTGTAGCACCACTCCCAAAGGACCACTGCTAGGTAAAGTAGTGACATAGACCTCGTGTCGCCTTGTTTGTTTATGTAGTACATGGTCGTGGTGTTGTCCATGACTACCTGGACACCACGACCTTGTAGCATCCTCTTGAAGGCTCGAAATGCTTTTATGACAGCCCACATTTCCAGATGATTTATGTGGACATGGTCCTCTCTTGTAGACCAAAGGGCATGCACGGTGTGACCGTCGCAGTGGGCTCCCCAGCCTGTCGGGATGGCATCTGTGGTGACCTGTACAGTTAGGGTCGCCCTATGAGGAGATGTGGAAGTGACAACCACCAGTCGAGTTGCTTTGCCAGTTCTCTTGTGACTGGGAGGCGTTTGTGTGCGTTGTCCTTCATTGGATCGAAGTGAGCGAGAAACCAGGCCTGCAACAATCGCATTTTGAGTCGTGCATGGGGAAGTGCCGCGGTGGTAGACGCCATTAAGCCAAGGAGGTGTTGGGCGTGTTGGGCTGAAACCTTGTGATGACACTGGAACACACACACGGCATTGCACAACTTGGTGACGCTCTCTGGTGTGAGGAAAACTCTTCCTTTGGTGGAATCCAACCACACCCCTATGTAATTTATCACTTGAGTCGGAATTAGCTGGGATTTTTTCAGATTCACCTGGAGGCCCAGATCTTGAAGTGTGTGTAGGGCAAAACCTGTGTTGCGGATGGCCTTGTGTCGGGAGGTAGACACAACCAGCCAGTCGTCTATGTATGGGTAGATGGAAATTCCATCGAGGCTATTGGCGCCATGCATTTTGTAAACGTGCATGGAGCTGTGGAGAAGCCAAAGGGGAGAGCGCAGAATTGAAAGGCAACATTTACAAAGAAGAAACTGAGATATTTTCTGTAATGTTTAGAAATATGGAAATAGGCGTCATGAAGATCCACTACAGTAAACCAGTCCCCGTGATGTAGCAGACGGATGATTGCCTCTCATGTCACCACATGGAAGCGCCGAGGACGGAGGCAAGTGTTTAAGTCCCTTAGATCTAGAATAGGTCTGATCCCTCCGTCGTTCTTCGGTACTGCGAAGTACCGGGAGTAGAAGCCTCTCAGTATCGCGTGCGGTGGTACTCTTTGTATGGTGCATTTCTGAAGCAGCAACGTGATCTCTTCTTCTAGGGCTGGTGAGTATGAAGTGTATCGGACATGACCTAAGGGAGGAGTTTCTAGGAATTCTAAACGATAACCGAACTGTATTATACTGAGGACCCACGTGTCGTTTGTTATGGATTGCCAATTTTGAATGAAGGGGGCTAGGGCCTGAGTCAAAGATAATGTTTTCACTTCTTTGCAGGAGGACAATAGGACGATCTGCGCTGGGATGTGGCCTGTGGACGAAAAGGTGTGGTTGCAAAAGATGCCTGGGACGACCTCGGAGTACCCTGTTGTCTGTAAGGATGGTAAGTCTGGTTAGATGAAGCGGACTGATATTGCTGTTGGCCATATAGTTTGCGCCACAAGTATTTCTGATATTTTGATTGTTGTTGAATGGTGTATGACTTTGCTATTTTCTTGGTCTTGTGAAGATTTTCCATTTTATCATCTGTTTTCTCATTAAAGTCCTGTAGCATCAAAGGGCAGCTCTTCAATGTGAGACTTGGCCTCTTCTGTTATCCTTGAAGAGCGTAGCCAAGCATGTCTCCTTAATCCTATAGATAAGATCATTGACTTAAGAGGCCACATCTGCAGCATGTCTTGATGCCAAGCGCTGGTGTTTAGCTACCGTAAGAGCTTCAGCGTATGTATTAAGAAGCATAGCCTTATTGTCTTCAGGGGGTACCTCCAGGGCAGGGAGGACCCTTGTCCACAATTGCTTCTGGTACGCGTCCATCACTGCCTGATAGTTTGCCACTCTTAACAGGAAGGCTGCAAAGGAGTAAAGCTTCCGTCCGAGAATGTCAAGCTTGCGCCCCTCTCTATTACAGTGGGGTCTCGATTTACGAACTTAATCCGTATTGGAAGGGAGTTCTCAGGTCGAAAAGTTCTTAAGTCGAATCTACATTTCCCATAGGAATGCATTGAAAACCATTTAATCCATATCTGCTCTTTTCGTCCATAGAAACTAATGGGAAGCTGCTATTCCGCCTTCTGCCACTAGAGGGGGATATTTTGTTTCTTTTTTCCTTTTAACCTAAGATGACTTAGCTTTTTAAAAAAGGAAAAAAAGAGTTCGTAACTCGAATCTAAGTTCGTAAGTTGAGTGCATATATTCCTATGAGAGCAGTTCGTAAGTCGAGACCCCACTGTAGTAGGTGTCACTTTGGTTCTAGGCACAGACTTTGAAATGTTAGACTGTACGATGATTGAGTTAGGAGTGGGGTGTTTCAGTAAGAACTCAGCATATTCACCGTGTGTACGGTAAAGGTTTTCAATCCGCCGTGTGATGGGTAGAGTTAGGCGGAAGGGACCAGGACTCCTTCACAAGTTCCATAAGGGCAGGGATAAAGGCTAGGCTGAGTGGTGCTGATCTGTCTTGTAAGATGTTTCCAAAAAAAGAGATCTTCCTTTGGTTGGTGGGGGTTCGTGTCCGTCAGAGAAGGGCAGTTTACAGGTACACGTTGCACACCTTCTAAAGGGTCCTGACGGGGACATAAAGTGGGGGGAAGATCGGGAACTCACTCAGAGCCCTGAACAATAACTGAGAAACCAATACTGCAGGCAATAGCTAAGTCGAAGTGGTCCGAGTACACCAAGGGAAGCAGTCTGTAAAAACGGTGGGGAAAAGGTAATCGCGGTCTAGCAGTCCAGAGTCAGTTCGAGGGGTAACGATCGTAAAGAATAAATAATTCGAAGTCCAAAAACGTAGTCAGGAGGCGATATGAGTAAGAAAAAAACTGTAATTTTAAGCAATACTATGGCGCTCTAGTGCAAGGTTCCTTTCACTAAGGCAGAAAAAATGGAACTGGGGATTTAGGTGGGCAGAGCATGCGCAATAGGGGTAACATGTTGTTAATCTTTTTTTCCTAAAGCTCTAGAAGATTCCGAGGTTTCCTGCACAGGCGCAGCTACCCAACTGTGTGCATTCACAGAGTCCATGCTGAAGAACAAACACATTATTCAACACACACACACACACAAACACAGAGAGAAAGACTATTTAACATCTTCTGCACCATTTGAACATGATTTTTCACGACCGGAAGCAACGGTTCAGCTGCTTCTATTGAGGGTGATCTGCTATTTTTGGCAGTCTGTGCTGCCTCTAGGATCCAAAGAGTAGAAACATGGTCTCTAGACCTACCAAAACTCCCCACCCTTTCCCTATATGTTTGCTGAAAGAGAAGACACACAAAAATGTGGGCTCCCATAATACGTACAACTAATTGCAGAGACACTAATTGCATGTTTTAGTTGTCCCTATGCACAGATCTTCCACTGGCTTTTATTTTTTTAGAAACAAACTTACTGTAATTCTTTCATCTTTGTCATCCAGAGGGGAACCATCCTTCTTCCATGAAATTGTAGGTTCAGGGTGGCCTCTTGGAGGTTGGCATTCCATCACAGCTGGCTCACCGACTGCTACCATAACATCAGAAGGATTTTGTCTGAAATCATCACGCAGTACTGAAAAGGCAGGGGGAAGAGATAGAGATAAAACCAAAGCATACATCAGTGATGAGCAATCTTTGTACAGCATTTCTTACAGAGAAGAAATGGATTTTTCACTTAGGTTGGAATACGAATTCTTCCTTCTTTATAGCACTATGTGAAGCACAGGTATCATTTCTTCTACTGCTTGTCCATAATTAGTAAGAAATATTACATTCCTGTGAATAGTGAACAATGCAACTTTGATGGAAGGCTTTAACTTTACCTAGTTATTGACGTACTATTTCCATAATTGCATCCATTCTTATTTTTCATTTATTGTTACCTTGTTCCTTCAGGTCTTAGGTTTTTACTCATGTTTTGCAGCATTCACTAAAAAAGGTTGACAATCACATGTGGACTTACCAAACAGAAGGTGTAGAACAGGAATTCTAAAATATTTTCAGTGAGTGCACTCTACAGGATATTTGTCTCCAAAATGTCAGTTAGCTTGTATCCGTGTCTTTGTACTTGCATTAACACATAATATATATAAAGGAAACCCAGATGCACTAAGTAGCCCCATGAGAAAAGTCTGCTACCTAGCAGATGATCTTTTAGGCTGCAAGAGAACGTGGTCACTCTAAGCTTAAACAGCCAGACAGGAGGTAGAATGTGTACTGGGTCACACATGAGATCTTCTGCAAACATTTATTTTGGTCCCAGTCTACCACCCACTGCCAAGAGCTGGATCCATGATGACTGCAGTGCACATCCTTGTGTATCAGATTAGCATTTTTAATATAAGAAATACATATGCAAATGTATGTCTGAGGGCATATACCACTGAAAGCAAGAGAAATGCAGGTAGACCACATGCATTTAGATTTGGAATAAGTATACCAATATAGGATAAACATGCACTACACTGATCTAAATGAAATGTTTTTGTAAATGTATATTTGACTGTACACTAACCTGAAAGTAGTGTACTTCAATTGTCAAGTGATTTCAATTACACATGCTAGTAGTGCCTTACTTCTGCTTGAGTACACATTTGAATGCAAGCCTTTATAGAACCCATATATTGTTTCCCTGAAAATAAGACCTAATCTGAAAATAAGCCCTACTATGATTTTTCAGGGTGCTTGTAATATAAGCCCCAAAAATAAGCCCCAGTAAACTGAAACCCTGTCCTCCACCTCTGGGCAGCAACCAGAAGATGACATGACAGTATTTGAATAAATGTAGATTGCTGTACATGAAAAAAATAATTAATTAAATTAATATAATCTGGAGAAGTGGACAATAACAGAAGAAGAATATAGATGGAGGAAGAAGAAGATTAATGCAAGAGATCCCTATTGTGGTGGGGAACACAGTTAATTTGTATTTTGGTTTATGTATTTTATGTTTATGTTATAGTTAAATAAAAATTGAATTAAAAAATTAATATAAGATCCTGTCTTATTTTTAGGGAAACACAGTAGTTTTTCTACATGTAAATATGAAAATCATATTTTATGAAAACCTGTATCACATTTTGTACACCATCTCCAAAGCCGAGCTGCTAAACTTGCTACATACAAACCCGTCTTAGCCCCCCATTACACTTTTTCTCCTGTATCAACAGGATTTACCGCCACAAGATCAAGCATTACCACAACAATATTCAACTCTTCCTCATTCCTCAGTACTACAAGAATACCTACTATATGCAACAAGAGGGGGTTCATGGCAATAAAAGAAGCAAAATCTGCACTATGTAATGTTGGCGTGATTCTAAGTACCCTTAGCAGTCTCTCTATTAATGGAAAGTAACCCATTCAAAAAAGAAAAAAGAAAGAAAGAAAAAAAGCAGAAAGTATGCACACATGTATAGAACTATTCCTTTACTCCACGCCTGGCACAAAGAGAATGAAGACATCATCTTTAGAAAAAGAGACAGAACCCACAGCAACCAGTGATCCCCAAGAAATGCCTGAACCTGGGATCGTGGAGTCTGGATTCTCAAGGAGAGAATGCTATGGGTCCACATGCCCAGAAGGAAGCAATACATGAGAGGCAGATCTACTTGCAACTCTCTTCCCAGTAACTGGCAGCTAAAAAGGAAGGTCACAACCTTTACAACCTGCTGCAACAGAAAAGTCCTCATAAGAAAAGAATCCCAGATATTGATATAAATACAGATACAAATACAGATATAGGTACATATCTAGAGTAGAGGTTGCTGCTAGACAAGACTGTGGTATCTCCTGCTTTAAAAGCATAAGTTTGCGGCTTGAAGAACTGCTGGAACAACATCTTCACCAGCTCTGGACACCTCACCCTAGTTTGCTCTGCTAACTCCCTGTACTCGAAAGGTGATATTGAATACTTTATGATGATACATTTCACTTGTCACTTGACTGTTGTGAACTGAGACAGCCTGTAAGTGACACTGAAAGAAAATCTGGCTTTGCCTCTTGTCTTCTACTTGTCTGTACAGTGCTCTGAGATTTTCATGGGCTTTGATGCTCAACCACCTTGTTCCTAATATTGTGTGCACCCTCACTAGGTTTTATGCACATGACTGGTCTAGATGCTGTCTATTATCATTTTCAAACCACTCTCAAAGCCTTGGCAGAGGGGAGGAGGGAGGGCATTGGGATAATCTGCCATGATGCCTGACTATTCTTAAACCTGGGAGGGAAAAAAATCAACACTATTTCAAAATGTCCATTTGTGCTTCCACTTAAATGTACATTTTCAGATATTTAATTCTATTAGAATACATTATTATGAAATGGATACTTAGTGCTATTTCTTGGTGAAAGAGAATTATTTTAGCTTTCTTTTCTATGAAAAATAGAATGAGACTTCTGTAAAACCTTCCTCCGTAATTTACTCCTTTTGATAAGAAAGTGATAAACAAGAAAACCTACTACCTGAAAATTCTCCTGTCGCATTATAACAAAGCAGCTGGAGCCACAACAAGAACTTATTTAAAATAAAGGATGACCTTATTAGTACAAGATTTGATCACAAGTCTAAAGTCAGAAAATATTTTAATAGGTTCATACCAAAACGGGTTTTTTTTCCCAAAAAGAAATCTAATTAAATGTTCCTTGCAAATCCTAAGTGCTTGTCCTGTCTGGAGTAGTCATAAACCTAAGATGAGCACTCCTCTAATAGTTATTTGGACTTTTCCCAAACACCTTTGAAGTAACAAAGATGTTCAAGTGCTACTCTAATAAAAGCAAATTGAGTAATTTCTATACTTAGTATAAAGTCCATCTTACATGTGCACTTTTCATCAATTACCGTATCTAGCAGATCACAATATTCCTTAGGAAAACATCCTAAGGAGGCATAGATAGAGAGAAAAAAGTTTTTCATTGACTATTAATTATTTTGGCTCTAACATTACCTAATGAAAAGGTGACTGAGTGTAAACTATTACAGATTATTCTGAAGATAGTAGTCATGTAATTATTTTTGCAGCTGTAGAATTAACATGCAGTTTGGAATTGCCTTAGGCCCTGGCAATTGAATGTGAAGTTAAAAATTTAAGGACTACTTTTCCTGTTGAAAAATAGTATTTTTCCTTGTCTTTTACATTTCTTTTGAAGATGTATTAGAAGTATACTTAATAATGCAGTAAATAATGTCCCTTTAGTTATCGAGAGCTCAATTTTAGTACATGTCTCTCAAAATAGTTGGAGATCAGTAGTATATCACAATACTGTATCACAAATGGAATATGCAATGGAATGTTACTGTGTTGAATGCTCTGAATCAGATTTTTGTCCAGCCAGCCATGACCTTGTCTCAGCTTATCCACTGCATCCCTTCTTTTCACTCACTCCCTTAGACAATCAATAATCTTTGGTCAGTGAGCCCTTTTACAAAATCTTAGTGAGAGTGTGTACAGGATTTTTTTCAGCATCATAATGAATATGTCAGCATAATTCTTGCACAAACTACACACAATTACCATGCAATGTATCTAATGGTCTATATTAAAATAGCAAACACATTAATGATTCCTGGGAGAGCACCACTCATGAACCTCATGTTCTCCTGCCCTTGTTCCTTATTGTGTCTGGGTGGTACCATTTTGGCTACATTATGATCAGCACTCAAATAATGATTTTGCAGTTAGCATTCAAGATGGAACAGTGACCAATCAAATGGCTTTAATGCTCAGTGCATATCTTTGACCTTAGCTCTGGTTCCAGGCCCCACAACCTTCTTTTTCTGAGCACCTTTCACACTCTGCCCCTTAGAGAAGCATGAAGTTACCTTGGTTCCTTCTGTGGTCTGTTTCTAGAACCAAGATAGAAAGCTATCATTGGAACCTGAACAGAACTGATTATCTTTTCTTGAACGCTATCTGTTACTGATTAAAAATGAATAAAAAGCAGATATTAACTGCCTTTTACATAGGTATTGCCCTATGTACAGGGAAAGTTGCTATCTAGCTAGGAATTTATGAAATGTCATGGTGTGTGAAAACTGAATGCTTTATCAAGTGTTTTCTATATAAATAATACAATCACCAAGCAAAGTAATAAACTTGATCTCAAAACTCTCTTTAATGTAACCAAAGGGTAAAAAGGGTAAAATAGAAAAAAGTTAGTTTTTGGACTCTAATTCTCAGAACTCTCCAGCCAGCATGGTGAGTGGTTGGGTATTCTGGAAACTGTAATCCAAAAAAGGAACTTTTCCCATCTCTGACTATTACCTATAGCAGTCAGGACTTCCTTGATGACAAAGAAAGCCTTGGATTATTTGCAATCATTACTGAAATTAAATTCCAGTACTATTCATACCTACTTCTAGAAAGGTTAAACAAAACCCACTCTTTTACCATCCTAATTGTTAAAGACAAAAAGGTCGGACAGGGTGATGTTAATATGAAGTCACTTTATGCACATTTTCATGGTGTTATTACCGAATTTTTCCTCCATATGACGCACCTCTACATAAGACGCACCAAATTTTTAGGAGAAGAAAACAGGAAAAAAAATAATCTGTTTTCTTCTCCTAAAATT